AAATAAAATCTTTAAAGAAAAAAAAAAAAGATGGCACTTTATAGGCTTTATATGACCCCACGCCCATTCGTTTACCATCTTTTCATCCACTCATTCCTTCACCAACTGTTATCACTGAGTGTCTACTAAGTGCCAGGCAAACATGAGGAAAGCAGTGTCTTCTTCCCTCCAGGGGTGTGTGATTTGCAGAGCAATCCCACCCCATCGCTGTGCTTCCCAGAAGTCCCGTGTGACCGAGTCCTGAACTGAACCCTGCTCTGGTGCAGCAGGTGGGCAGGATGGAGGGGAACAGAGAGGCGACCTCTGGGCCAAGGAAAAGCAAGTTTGCTAGTATAGGGCCTGAAACCTGCTTGTTTTGGTGAGCTCTGTCTTTTCGTTCCTGGGTTTGGTTCCATTTTGTTTCTCCTTAGGTTTTTGGCTCCAGTCCTTTTAAAATTTATAGTCTGTTTTGGTTGAGCCAAAGAGAACAAGGGAGTGAGACTGAATGTTCAGACTGTTTGGGTCAGAAAGTCAGGCAGAAATCCCTGGGACCAGGTGCCATGGGCACAGCACCAAGCTGGAGAGAAAAACTCAGAAGGGGTGCATCTGGAGGCCCCCTACACAGTGCTTTCCTGCTCTATTCTGGGAAGCTTTTGTTTCCCTTTAAGAATGGAAACTGGCTTGTTCAAGGAACCTATAGCCTCCCCCTAGAAGCATAGTACTAAGCTAAGGTGGGCGACTGTGTTGATGGCCCCACTTTCCTTCTCTCCCGTCCTGAGGCACCCACTTGGGAATTGACCAGACAGTCTCCCACAGGGAGTGGAAGTTCTGGCGCAGGAGGGGAGGAGGGGAATGGCCCATGAGTGCCATGAGATGTGCCCTTCCTGGGGTGGCCACCATGGCCTCTACACTGGTGCCTAGTGCAGAGGGTCAGCCCTGACAGGGAGGAGACCCGTTCTCTGGGTGAGCTTCTGCAGGCCCAGAGGGGGCTGCTTCCCGGGGCTTCAGGATGCTGTAGCCAGAGAGCCGCGAGGGGGGCTGGGGCAGAGAGAGGGCAGGGAGCGAGGAGCTGAAGGAGAGAGGCACAGGCTCTGGTTACCCTGGGCCCCTCCTTCCTGCGCGATCTCACCGCCCACTTTCTCCAGCTGGTCCTAGCAAGAGAGCCCACTTCGTAGGACCATTTACGATCGCCTCGGACTCTGCCCTACTGCCCATCATCCCTTGGAAGGTGTTGGCCAGGTGGTGATGGGATGGCCCTGGGGCTCAAACCAGGGACGGGGAGGCCCTGGGAACAACCAGAGTTGGGGACAACCAGAAGGAACAAGCCAGTTCCTTCAAGTACAAAGGGAACTCCCTAAATGCAGTTCCCCACAGGGGTGGGGGGAATCTGCCAGGAACAGGGCGATAGCTCTTCCCACCCAGCCTCGGTCCCGAGCTATCCTCCGGAGCCTCGGGCCGCCTCTGCTGCTATCGTGGCGTGGGCCTCAGGGGGGCGCTGCTCCCCCTCGGAGGGTCTGGCTAAAGGCCGCCAGGACGGGCTCCCAGCTCACCGAAGTTCCTGAAAAGGCAGCAGGGTCACCAGAAGGAGGAGGACACCAATTTATCACCCTGTGCTTCCTCCTGGCCCCAGACAGGTGTTCCCCTGGTCCGCTGGGTCTTCAGGTCTCGCCCTCGGACCCGGACTCGGAGGGTCAGCCCCGCCCCAGCCGGGGGGCCGCAGGTGAGCCCCACAGCGAGGAGGCGGGGCCTGCCCTTCTGCCCGGATGTTCCCACGCCCCCTCCCGGTAGCCACGCGCCCTTCTTCTGGCTTTTCTGTCTGCTCCTCGGTCTCACGTCTTTCTCGAACCCTCCGACAACTGCATCTCAGCATGACCGGCCTGCCCCTCGCTCCACCCGTCCACCGCATCTTTCTCTGGTCCCCGTCTGCCTCACAGGCGGCCCTCTCCCCTCCCATACCCTGGCTAACCGGCTGTGTGAAGAGCTGCCCGGGCTGGGCTCATGGATGGGCCCTTCCCCTGCTTTGCTCTTGCTCTGGCCTTCCCTTCCATCCCCTCCCCGCCGGCCCTTTCTCCTCACCTCACCCTCTGCCACATAGTTTATCATCAGGGAAGGGCACCAAGAGGAAAGGAGCTTCTGGATAAGCAAGTGGAGGTGGGTTGGGGAGATAATGGGGGGGATGCGGGCAGCTCCTGCAGATAAGGATTTCCTGAACTCCCCGGGGAGTGCTGTATGAATGAGGAAGACTGCTCCTGATCCTTCTGGCCTTCCCAGTCCCTGACTGAGCAAAGCCTGTAGCTGGGAGATGGGTGGAAAGGGGGGGATGTAAAAAGGGTGGAGGTTTAGAGCAGCCAGAACTGAGTCTGCATCTCAACCCTGACAGTTACTAGCTGCATGACCTTGGGCAGGTGTGCCTCAGTTTCTCCATCTGTAAAGTGCTGGTAAAACCGTCTAGGGTGCCTTGCACCAGTGTAAGCTCAGTGAATGTGGGCCCCTGTCCCTGCTGGGTGCTGGATCATCCTGGTCCCCTGAGAGCTCTCCCCTGCATCCTGGATTCCACCCAAGAGAAGCTATTCCCACATGCCCTCTATTTACTGGACACGTTCAAGCCCACCACGCTATGTCATCCTTCTTTTTATAATTAGGAAAGCAGGAAGGCAGAGAGGTTAAAGTGACCAGTGTTTTAATAGAAGGCCACGGCAGAACCCAGAAGCCTGAGTCCAGAGCCCCAGGACCTGCCGTGCCAGTGGCAGCAGTTGCTGAAAAAGCTGAGCAAAGGTTTCCTGAGAAATTCAACTGGACAGGAGCTTCCAAGAGGCCTGAGTGGGAGTGAGAACCCTGGCTCTGCTCCTGCCCCTGTCACCCGCTGGGTGACCTTGGGGAAGTCCTTTTCCTTCTCTGAGCCTTAGCTTCCGCTTCCTCATCTTGCCAGGGTGTGGGGCAGAGACGGACTGCATCCTTTGTGAGGTCTCATTCCGCCCTGAACACTGTGTGTCCCCCCCGCCCCTGCAAAGGGACCCAGCATTGTAATAAAGAGTGGGCTGCAGCTTCAGGCTGGTCATAGGGTGAAAAATCTTGTTCTCATTTTCCCCACCCTCTGTTTCCTCCCTCTTCCCAACCCCCATCCTGTCACTTGGGGCCGATAATCAATGAGTCGTAAAATGAGAAAGTATCAGGAATGAGCAAAAGCATGGAGAGCAGCTGGGGCGGCCTCAGCGCACCGAGTGTGACGGACTGCCAGCCCTTCACCTTAGCCCAGCCTCCCATGCCTGCCTTGGCTCAGGCCAGCCAGCCAGCCAGCCAGCCAGCCAGCCGAGACTCACCCAGCCTGGGGGGAAGGGGAGTGCAGCTGGAGACCAGAGTAGGGAGGCCTGTTTTCAGTGAGTCCAAAAGCCTCACCTCACACAGAGCAATGAGATCTATGTGTACTGACATGGAAAGATGCATCCAGGATGTATGGTTAAATCATAAAAACAGGTTACATGATCTTACCTATAAAGTGATCCCATCTAATGTTATTATATAGAACTGTTTGGACATACATAAAAATATGGGCAGAGAGACTCCAAACTGTGAATAGCAGTTACCTCTGGGAGTAGTAGAATAGGGGAAACACTTACTGTCTACTTTATACACTTTTCCTTTGTTGGATTCTTAAAGCAAGCATATATTGCTTTTATAATAATTTTTAAAAGATCATTTTATGATAAAGATTATTTCCATTATGCAGAGGAAAGCCTTGCAGAAGTATGCACGGGCTAATGAAAATGCTCAGTGTCTTTGCTTCAGGCTGGAATTGTATCCATCTAGGGTGGCAAGGCCTGTGAGCTCCTGCTGATCCAAAGCACTAGCTCTAAAATCAAAGCATGAAGAGCTTGATTTCTTAAAAGAGAAAATCCACAATCCCTTAAGTTTAAAGGATCCCTGAATAGTAACGATAATCCTTTAAGTTTGGCTTATAAAGACTAAATCTGTCAAAATACATGATACTTTAAGGCAAAGGGGAAATAATGGTAAAAGAGGTCCTTGGTGTCCGCAGGCCAAAACCGGCCTCGGGGTTGGCTGCTGTCAGCCAGGGTTGGAACCCTCCCCCTGACACCTTCCGCAGCTTGGGAACCAGGCCCACATCGGCATGTGGTGCAACCGCTCTCCCCCAACGGGACTAAGCTTCCCTCTGACCAGCCTGAGGCCACGATGGCCTGCAGGAGTCTCTAGGAATGACTCTCCAGGATCCCTTGGCTCCTTGCCTTCCAACTTTCTCCTGCAACCAAGCCCAGGGCATGTGGGGGCTCTCCCTGAGCCAGAGACCCAGGCTGTGGAGTAGGGGAAGGGAATAAAGGGACTGGTGGGTTTGGGCCCACATGGGAACGGATATTGGAGGGTAGAGAAGGTGGGGGGGCTGGGTAGGAGGTAGGAGGGCTGTGAAAGGTCACTCTGGCTGCGGGACTCTCTGTCCCCCTCCTGAGGAGTCAGTACAGGGACTGAAAGCTGCAGTTAGACACAAGTTTATTGGTGGAGCTGCGGCGGAGTCGTCCGCCCTCTGTCTGGGATAGCCGAGGGCACAGCACCAACAGAGGGATGGACAGACAGACCCCCAAAAGGACACATGGACGGTGCAGACTCAGACCATAGCACAGCCACATAGGCACAGAGACACACGGGCCACAGCACCAAGAAACACACACACACACACACACACACACACACACACACACACCCACACACTGAGACAAAACCACAGGGCTAGAACACACAAAGTGCGGGCTTTGGGGCTCCTGCATAGACAGAGCAAGGGCCATGTGGGGAGGGGGCCCCTGCTGACCTCCCCCAGGCATAGGCACACCGACAGCACACAGACAGGCAGATGCCCCCAGCCAGACAGCCAGCCTGCCACACAGACAAATGAACGGCATGGAAAGGAGGCTTGTGCTCCCCAAACCACAGGGAGGGGGGACCAAGGGACTTCTACACACCCCCACTGACTGATTCCCCTTCAACCTGAATCCTGCCTCCCCCACACTTTGGTCTTGCCCACCGGGGCTGGGAGCTAGGGAGTGGGCAAGTGGAAGGAGGGAGAGAGGAAGGGGTACGGGCCCAGCTCTGTCCCTTCTGCAAGAGCAGGGAGGCAGGTACTGAGAGTCCGGGCCTGAGCCAGGGCCTGGCAGTGGGGTGAGGGCGGGGCCTCGGCTCAGGCTTGGGGCGGGTCCCGGCAGCGCAGGCACTGGGCCATCTCGGGCTGGTACTGCTCAACCTGCAGGGTGCAGCTGGAGAATCCAAACCGGGAGTGGAGCTGGGATGTGGCTTCAGCCAGGACAGCTTCAGGGTCAGCCGTGGAGTCTGTGGGAGAGTGATAAGAGGCAGCAGATTCCCAGGGGAGTTGGGAACCAGGCAGGGGCCAAGATAAGGACTGGTGCAACGGGGACCCTATGGCTTGCACAGCATTAAAACTAGGCTTGAGTGAGGAGTTTTATGTTCTTTCTGTATTGTATGAACAGCATAAAATGCCAAAGAAAAGGTTGGAGAGACTCACCCCCTAATCAACCACGCCACCATGCTAACACGCCAGACTATTCTTATTTTTCTATTCTCTTCTGCTCTTTGACTATCCATATACAGCTGTATGTTTCAGCAGCCACAGCACCCGATTCTCCAAGACAATCCAGATGTTAAATATTTTCTCCCATTGTCCCTCTAGAGTTACCATCAACTATCCCTCAAAGTATAATATTTTTGGCATCCAAATTGCATGTCTCTGATTGCTTCTTGCATCTGGAAGAAACTCAAAAATCCTTTGTCAGCTTGTGAGTCACCATATATATTTTTAATAGTTGAATCATAATGTAGATATAATTTTACATTCAGCTTTTTTCTCTTAGCATTATACCACAAACATTTTTCCTAGTTGCCACACAGTGTTCATCATCATCAGTTTGAATAGTTCCGTCATACCCCACGGTCACAACTTACCTAACTGTGCCCCGTTGCTCGACCTGTTGGTACTAGTGATCTTTTAAAGGGTTGCTGGTTCTCTGCACTACTTCAGAGTAGTGCGACCCCCACCCGCACCAGAACACCCTGTCCAGGGTGCCTTGTCTCCAACACGCACATGTGTGTTAGTGATCAAGAAAGAGAGCTGGAATTGCAATCCCAGCAATTCAGTCAATCTTCTTAGGTTTGGAAGGGGTGGTAGGGGTGGGCGTGGGGTGGGGGGAAAATATTTCTAGGAGGTAACTGGCTAGGGCCAGTGTGGACTCACCAATGGCCAGGTGTGCGGAGGCAACATGGTAAGTAAGCGTAAGGGACCACAGGTGCAGCTCATGAGTTGCCCGGACTCCTGGCACTGACAACAGTGTGTCCCGCACGGGCTCAAACCCCACACTTCGGGGGGAACCTGCAAGCAGCACCGGCCACACCTTACCGCCAAGGCCACTCCTGCCCAAGGGCGGCCCCTCACCAGACTCTACCTCCCCCGCCCGTCCTGTATCTGCTCACTGCTAACCTCTACAATTCACCCTGTGCCTGAATCTCCTTCCAGCAATAGACCCCAGGACCCAGGCCTTCTCCCGACACTCTCTTGAGAGAAAAGAGGTGGCTCAGAGCTGGAGTGAGGTCAGAGAGGGCCTCAGGTGGGGAGCAGTGGCATCTGATTTACCTTCCATGAGGACACGAAGAACATCTCGGAGGGTGGGAGCCGTGGATCCAAGGGCACAGATGGAGAAGAGGAAGGTGCTGATGGGGTCAGCTGCCTTGTACTGAGGCTGTAGAGAAAGGGACCTCTAAGCCCAGGAAACAGGAACCCTCCAGAGGAAGACCTAGGGGTGTCTTGGAAAAACAGGACCTGAGAGGCCCCTGGGAGCCCTGCTGAGGGGAAAGGGACCATGCCCCAGGGAGTTCTGGGGAGCTGGGAGCTGGAGGCGAGGAGGGAGGCCAAGGGTGCAAGGAGGGGCCGGGGGTGTGGAGCTGGGGGAGGAAGGCTGGGGCAGGCCTGCGTGCACAGTACCTTGAAGTAGATGAGGACAGAGGCGGCCAGTACCCCAAGGCTCTGCAGGAGGTCCCCCAGCACATGCACAAAGGCTGCCCGGACGCTGGTGTTCCCGAGGGGCAGGGGGTCCCCCGGCCCCTCCTCCAGTGGTGCATACTCCGCCCCCCTAGACCCGTGGCTGTGCGGGGGCCCGGCCTGGTGCAGCACAAAAGCCATTCTGAGGGGGAAGCAGAGCGGCTCAGCCCGGGTGGCCTTTTTCCCCGGCCTCCTCTGCTCTCTTTCGACATCTCTCCACCTCACCTCCCCAGGAGCCCTTTCTCCACCCATTTTCTCCCTACTTTCCCAGCCCCAGGAGGAAGATGACATTGGCCAAGGGACACAAATCATGAAGCCTGGGGGGAAAAAATACCGTGGTACTGGAGACATGGATTCAGATCCTGACCCTGCTACTTACACCTGAGCAAGTCACCTAGCCACCTCTGTGTCCTGTGTCCTTAACTGTACACTAGGGCCGATACTGTCTACCTCATGGGGGTGGTTGGGGGCCTCAAATGGGACAGTGCTGATGAAAGCCCCCGGCAGGGTGGCCGGTACACAGTAGGCCCTCAGTAAATGTCTGCTGACTCTGGATTCCGGCTCTCTCCCCCGTCTGTCCTCAGGCAGCCCTAGGGCAGGCGACGGGTGAGAGCTGCGTGTGCGTGTGCGTGCCTGTCGCGCGGGGAGAGAGCCGGCTCTCCCACCCTGGAGAAGCCCCCCTCGCCCTGAGTCCCACATGGTGCCTACTCCACTGGAACGTACAGCAGGTTGGCGCAGACTGCGATGCTGGCGGTCAGCAGCATGGCACCCCCCTCGATGTGGTAGTCGCTGTGCAGCAGGCGGATGAAGGCCAGGTACAGGAGGATGCCAGTGACCATCCAGAGAGAGACCACAGAGGCCAAAGCCCCCAGAGTCTCTGCAGGGGGAGACAAGCTATCAGACACCTGCCTGGGACCCTAGGAGGTACCTTCTGGTAAGATTAGAGGCTCACAGGGCCACGCAAGGCCTTACCTGAGCGGTGCCAGCCAAAGGTCATGGTGCGGGTGGCTGGACGGGTAGAGAGCCAAAGAGAGAAGAGGCTGCCTATCATGCTGCCCACATCCGCCAGCAGGTGGGCTGCATCGGTCATAATGGCCAGGCTGTGTGCCAAATAGCCCCCTGCAAGCGTAAAGCAGTGAGTGGTCTGGGTCCAATTAGAAAGTAGCGTGCATTGTAGCGTGTGCAGAAGCCGGGAAGGAGGCTGGGGGGACCTGCACCCAAATGTGAACTGTGTTTTTCCCTGGTGATGGGATTATAGGGGGGTTTTATTGGCTTCTTTTCACTCATCCACATTTTCTAGATTTTCTATTATGACACATTTTAATATCAAGAAAAATAGGACTTTTAAAAGATTAGCGAATGCTGAGAAGCCAGCCCTGGCCCTCGGCCCCAGACGTGGCCCTGAATTCCCCCTGGTTCTATCCCCCACTCTCTCCCACTTCCTGAGTCATGGGCACCCACATGCCCACTGCAGCCATCCCCTTCTCAGCATCTCTGCCCCACCCCCCCTCCGGGAACACTGCTGGGACTCCGGGTGGAGAGTGGCTTAGGCAGGGGTCGAGAGGATGGGGTTGGCGGAGCCGCTCGCCGACTTACCGACCACCTCCCCAGCCATGAACACACAGCACACGGCACAGGCAGCACACAGCTGTCTCTGCGCCTGCAGCCTCTCAGGGGTGAGGCCCGGCTGTGGCAGGGGGTCCCTGTGGCAATGGTGGAAGGGCATCTCCACAGGTTTGGGTTCCTCAGGGAGGGGCTCCGAGGGCTCTGTGAAGAGACTGGGGCAGGCAGCACCATTCAGCCTGGGGCTGGGCCATGGGCTGAACTGTTCCTCACTCCCAGGTCCTCCGGCCCGCTAGACGGGCTTCGTCAGCTGTGGCCCAACACTCGCTCTGTCCGTCCCAAGGCCCGGTCAAACCTGGGAGCCTTGGGAACAGAGGGCCACGTGAGAGATGGGGGCTAAACAGACAGCTCAGACCCCAGCCTCCCTTTCCTTTCATACACAGAGCCATAGCATTTCACAGCTGGAAAGCACCGTAGAGATGGTCTAGTCTAATGCTTTTTACAGAAATTACAAGTATGAGGCTCAGAGAGGGAGAGGACATAGGGGGGCCACACAGCTAGTTCATGGTAGAGAGTAGACTCCACCATAATGCATGGATAGGCACCATAAGGAGCACAAAATGAGCAGGATCTTGCTGACCTCTGGGAGCTTTCGGTGGACAAGACAAAGGTATACCTAGGTGCTATGCTCTGTAGCAAGAAAGTAGCTATTGCCATAAAACAAAGTGCTTTCAGGGCTTGGAGAAGATGAATTGGAGTAAAGTCAGGGAAACTGAAGGGGGCGCCGTGAGAAGGGCCTTGAGGGATGGGGAGGGTTTGGGTAAAGACTGGGTGAACATGCCAGGCAGAGGCAATATGAAGGCAAGGTGGTGTCAAAGGGTGAGCACATGATCCTGGCCTTAGGGCCTCCCTCCGAGATCCATCTCCCAGTGCCTCCACTCCAGATCCTTCCCCTTCCCTATCTAGACATGCAGCTGAAAAGTGGCCATTTAAGAGAGGAGTGGAATGGTGGGACCCAAAAAGTCTGAGGTCCCAGATCCCAGAGCTGGGGTTGTCATGGGGAGGACGAAGTGCAGGCTGCTATGGCTGGGGAGGCAGTGGTAGGAGCACTGGATTTGAAGGTTGCCACCTTCAAAGTCCAGCTGGACTCCGGCCCGATCATAAGCACCCAGCGGAGGCCACCTTAACTGTGCGGTGCCATAGCCTCCTTTGATAAATGAATGAGGCTGGAGCCTTACCTGGGATGCCAGAGATTGAGCTCAGGCTGAGTTTTAGGTTCATGCTGGCCCAATTCTCACCCCCACAATTACCCAACCTGAACATCAGCAAGGCCATAGAACCTTCCATAGAACAAAAGACCTAAATAGAAAATACAGTCCTAGAAATACTCATGGAGGTGTGACAAGAATACCCATGAGTGAATCAGAGGCTCCAGATAGAAACGTGGTCACAGCAGTAAAGTGAGGAGGGAGGCCTGGGGCCTTCTGGCTGAGAAAAGCTCTGCCAAGTGGGTGAATTGAGGTGTGAGGGAGGTGGGGACACATTTGGTGCTTGTAGGGGAAGATTTCAGTGCTGGCAGGTAGATTAATTTCTTGGAATTTTCTTCCAAGACTTAGAATCTCAATGTGTATGATGAGATGCTGGGTGTGTTTGCAGAGGAGACAGAGAGATGAGGGTGGCTTTGAAACCCATCCTCATTCTTCAGTGAGATATACACATAGTCGGGTGCCCGGGACTCAGGTGGCAGGCAGGGAAACCCAGTCTAGTGGGAGAGACAGATGGGTCACAAATGACTTACTAGGCAAGGATAGGCTGGGGCCAGGAGGATTATGAATGAAGGACTTGGGAGCACCAGGGAGGGAGTAACCACCTGGGATGAGGGTGAGGACAACTTCACAGAGGAAGAGGTGTTTAACATGAGACCTAGGTGAAGAAGGGGGCTCCAGACACATGGGATGTCAATGACAAGATAAGTGGCTAGGAGTTTTAAGTGTCAGGAGCCAGGGCAAGGGCTGAGGAGGAAAACGAGGACTCAAAGGAACATCAAGGGAGATACACTGATTGATTTCACATATCTTTCCTGAGCCCTGAGATGACCTTGCTGATGTATATTAGTCTGGGAGAGGGAGAGGAGCGGAGATGGAAGGGTCCAGAATAGAGCAGGCCACAGATTCCCTGCACCGAATTTTGAAGGAGGGGCAGGTAGGTTAGGGAAGAGCCTCTTTCAGAAAATACTGCAGGATTTGGTGACTAATGGTCATATGAGAATGAAAATGAGCTGGGAGTCAGAGATGCGGGTCTGGATAGCAAGCAGAGGCTGCGTGGCTTTGGGGCAATGGGCAAGATGCCTTTTTTGTAAGGCATAGAGTACCCAGTCATCAAGGTAGCCACCCATCAACAGGCTGCTCCCTTTTGTTCTGCATGAATTGGGCACTAAAGAAGCCTCATTGTTGGGGTGCCTGGCTGGCTCAGTTGGTAGAGCATGCGACTCTTAATCTTAGGGTCATGAGTTCAAGCTCCACGTTGGGCATGGAGCCTACTTTTTAAAAAATACATTAAAAAAAAAAAGAAGGCTCGTTGTTGGTGTGGGTGGGTGTGTATGTGGGTGGGGGGCTACATGCTGTTTAGAGAGAAGGAGAAGCAGTTTTCTCTCCCTGGCCCTCTGAAACCCCCAACAAACAACAATATTGAGTGGGGTAGAGGGGAACCGTGGGGAGGGGACCGGGGCCTGAAGCAGAGTCAAACGGATCTGTGAAGAGATGCCCCTGCCTCGGCTGGAGCCTCCACAGCTGCCCACGTCTGCAGTCCCCTGCAGGAAGGAGTCAGACGGGAAGTCTGTCCTCCCTTCTGTTCCACTTCCCCACCCACCCAGGTTTACGGCCCCCACCCAGGGAGAGAGCGAGAAACACACATAGGCACCACATCAGAGACAAAGGGAAAGGTGCTCGGAGGGAAACAAAACGATTGGGAGAAATGAAGATAGAGAAAAAGCCAGAGAGCCTGTCAAATTTCCGAGACAAACGGACGGTCAGCCAGCAGACAAAATGGCCAGCGGAGGTGGCCAGGATGGGCCTGGCGCGGCCGCTCCGAGGGACAAGGAGGACAGAGCCGGCCGTCGCCGGGCGCGGGAGGCCGGCGGGACGCGGAGGAGGTTCTCCGGCCGCCCCCGGCCCGCTGTCCCGGCCGCTCCGCGCGCCTCATTTCACACCTCGCCGCCCCCGGCCCCGTCTGTGCGGAGCCGGGAATACCCCCTGCCGCCCAGACCGCACCTGCTCCTTCCCTGCCACCCCCTCGCTTCCCAGCGGCCGCCGTCCCCCAGGGGCCTGGAAGAACCGCCGTGGAGCCCGGGCCCATCTTCGGCCTGGGTGCGCACAGCTGGCCGTGGCTGGAGGGGGCGCCCCGAGCCCGGGCGCACAGAGGGAAGGGCCAGGGGCCTGCAGCGGGGGCTCCGAAGCCTGGGCGGCGAGATGCTCCCACTGCCAGGGCGTTGGAGCAATGCAGACTTCGGGGCACCTGGCGTGGACTCCGGCCCGACGGAGGGGCAGTTGCTCACAGGGAAGTCGGATGCGGCGAGGGCGGCAGAGGGGTCCGGAGGCTTGGGGGACCGGCCGGGGAGCCGTTTCGCGGGACCGAGAAAGAGAGCGTGGCCGGGAGGAGGCATAGCGGACTGCTGGGAGGTTCGGGGGGGGGTGGTGGTTCTGGCGGTGTGGCCGGAGAGGACAGAGCCGGGCGCCGCGAAGCCGAGGGACTTGCGGTGCGCTGGGGCGGCCAGTCGGGGCCACGCCGAGGGAGACAACGAAATGGACGGATGGCAGGAGGGTGGCGCCCCCGGGCTGAGGGCCGGCCCAGGTCTGTCCTACCTCTTCAAGCGCAGGCCGCCACCGGCGCCGCCGCGGTCTCGGGGGCTCACCAGGCGAGTGGTCTCCGATCCCCCCGTGGCAGGAGAGGGCTCCATGTCACCGCAGCCCCGACCGTCTAGGCCCCACCGAGGAAGGGAGAGGCGGGGCCGGCCCTGCACCAAGTCCGAGCGTCCAGCCGACCCCCGGACTCCCCGCAGGGCCGCGGGGCCACCAGAATAGAGGGAACTGCAGCGACTGTGGCGCGGGGAGTCCGAACTGCAGATCCCGCGGCCTTTGGAGCCCCGCCCCGCGTGGGGCGAGCTCCCCAAGCCCCGCCTCCAGGCTCCCGGGCCTCTCCCCCACGCCTAAGCCCCGCCCCCGGAGCCCCGCCCCCATAACCAAAGCCCCATTTCCCACTGCCAGAGCCAGGTGGGGGCGACGGGAGCCCTCTGCGCCCCCGTAGGGTTCTAGAGAACGCCCAACCTCCATAGCCCCGCCCCCACCCAAGTCCCGCCCGCGGGTTCCAAGCCAAGCTCCTCAAGCCTCGGCACCTCCCAACCAACCTTCCCCCAAGGAACACCTCCCTTTGCAAGCCTGCACGGGGTGGGGGGTGTCGTCCAGCCCCCCACACGGAGGCAGAAACAGGTGTGGGTCCATTACCTAGCTCGAGAGAACCAGAAAGAGTGTGGGGTGAGCAGTGACACATCCGGGAGAACTCCAGGGACCCCGGCCAGAAACCCCTCTGTGGAGGATGTGGGGTCGGAATTTGCATGCAAAATCTGCTGCCAAGCACTGTACCGCTCATTATCATTTATTTTTATAGAGAGTTTGGGTGACAAAAGCTTCCTGTTCTCCTCCAATCCATTACTATCCCTATTTTTCGGATGAGTAAACTGAGTTCCAGAGGAAGAAGCGTCTAGGGTCAGGCAGCCGAAGAATAAAACGCTGGGACTGGAACATCATCCTCTTTCCCTCTCCAGTTCAGGGCACCGCACTGGCGACTGAAGACAGCGCGCTCCCCAGGCTGGGACAACGAGAGGAGGAAGGAGCGATGCCACATCTCTGGTCACAAGCCCACTGTTCTTGGAGGGAGGCTGCAGCTTGTCAGCAGGTGATTCTTTACCTCCGAACCTCTAGCACCTGGCTGGGCATTACCTTATTCTGCCTCATTTTAATTAAAACCCAGGGGAAGGAGTGACTTACAGCAAAGTGGGTGGCTGAGCCCGGAGTCAAACCTTCAAATGCTCAAAGCTCTCTGGCCCTCACACCTGCCGCCACTGTAGAAGGAAATGGGGGTGGGGATTGCATTGTGCCCTCCAAGCTGTGACACTCTGTGAGGAGGAGGGTCTGGAGGAGGAGGGAGAAAAGTGAGCTTGGATGGGGAAGCGTGGAGGGTGGGAGCGGTTGGTGAGTCCAGGAGAGAAACCCATCCACGGGCACCCTTCCTAAGGAACACACTGGGCGTCCTTCATTTGGGGTTCCGGGGACAGACACTTCGCCCCAACGTTATTATCCCAAACATTGCGACTGCGTGTACACTTCCCCCAAAAAAACCCGGAACAAACAAACACTAGGAGCACGTGCCAGACAGAGTGGTTGGAAGAGATAGGGTTAACCCGGGAGAGCTTCGCGGAGGAGGTGAGGCTTGAACGGATTAGGCAAGCTGGGCGGCGGGCTGGCTGCTCCGGCGGGGGAGAGTGAGGCCCTTGCCAACGTTTGCGGGCGGCGTGCACGAAGGGAGCGTACTGCGCTGGGGAACGGTGCGGAACGGAAGAACCAAAGGGTCTGCGCGAGCCCCCGGCGCCGCGTCTCCACCCACGCCGCGCCCGGGGCCAGCGCCAGCCTTTATTCGGCACCCTCCCCACTACTCCCCGCAGAAGGCTCAGCCCAAAGCCCACGCAAGGCGAGGGGCGAGGGAGTGAGCGTGGGGGTCCTCTCTCCCTCCAACCTCCCCTAGAGGAGTGGGGCCTCAGCTCCTTCCTCGGGTCTCGGGGATGCAAACTGAGGTAGCGAGAGGGGAAGCCACCGGCCAAGGTCACCTTGTAGGTCCTTGTTAGAGCGGGGTGGAACTCGTGCCCCGTCCGCCTAGGTCAGGGCCCCGGCAAGTCCCGCTAGGCGCCGTCGGTTTTTGAAGCTCGCACCGGGCCTGGGGCTTCCCCAATTCTGAGAGCCCTGGAGCTGGGCTGCGGAGGGGCCACCGCGCACTCCAGGGCTGGGATGCTGTAGCCTCGCCCGAAGCGGCCCAGGCAGGCGAGCTCGAGAATGGGGAGAAACCGCGGATCCCTGTGCGGGGTAGGGGCTTCTAGGCACGCCTTAGCCGATGACGACAACAGGGGACTTAACAACAATGGCTTCCTCCGGGATTTCCCTTCCTGGGCAGTCGGTCCACAGCGCGCAGACAGCAGCCCCGGGTTCCCGGGAGGGGGCGCAGACGCCGGCAGACGCCCGCCCGCTACTGGGCGGGGAGCGAGCAGGCGGGAGGGGAAAGAAGTGTGGGAGCAGATGGATTACAGGGCTGTCCTCTGCCGCGGCTCCTTCGGTGTCGGGCCTTGGAACGTGCTGGCTCCAGAAGTCGAGGGCACCAGCGGGGAGAATACCAACATTTGCTTGTGCTTGGAATTTTATGCAAGAAAAGCCTGGCAGCGAAACAGACTGCCTGCACCTGATTCTCACTCAAAGAGCCATCAGGTGGTCCTATGAAAATCTTTGCAAAGGGTCCTCTTGAATGCCAGTTCTGAGGAAGGCATTTTGCACCTGGTTAGGAGCTGGGAAAATTAGGCAGGAGTTAGAAGGGCAACTTAGAGCTGGCTGTAGGGAACTGAAATCTTGTAAGAACTATTCATTCAACATTTACTGAACACTTACCTCCTGCCATGCACTTTGTTAGGGTAACTGGAAATTCCTGGTGAACAAGATAGATGCATTTCCTCCGCCTCCTGGCTTTAACTTGATTGCAAGATATTTCTGTTCTGCAGGCTTTGGTTACTGATTTACCCACATGCTCTTAATGTCAGTCCTGTCCTGCCTCAGGTATCAATTTTCCCCAAGGAGATTCCTTAGGCCACTTTGAATCCCAAAGGGGTGAAGGAAGCAGGAATCTCTGGAAGTTCTCAGGAGGACAGGTCAGTCCCAGAACAGAGTGTGGCAGAGCAGGTCAGAAGGGGGGTTCAGGGAACCCAGGCTGGACCAGTTCATATTGGGAGAGAAAGAGAGAGCCAAGTCCAGCCCTGAAGTCAGGATTTAGGCTGGGCTAGGGATCTCAGACAAGATTTGGAGGCCAAGCATGCAGGCAACGGGTTAACACTGGGAAAGTCCAAGCCAGGCTGAAGGGTATGGGGAGAGGTAACAAGGAGGTCCAATTTCCACTCCATTCACCACTCACGTGTTCCTCCAGGAAGCCTTTCTGACTCCCCCACCAGGCGGAGTTATGTGCCCTCAAGGCCTACAGTGATTATGTGATGGTGGCACTTAGTACACCGAAACAAACTGGTTTGCTTGTCTGTCTCCTCACTAGAATACAAGCTCTCTGAAGGCAGGAATTATCTTTCTCATCACTGTGTCCCTAGGGCCCCCTAGTGGCTGACACATACTCCTCGTTAAAGCCACCCCAGGGAAAAAAGGGGCTGGTGGTCAGAGTGGAAGCAAGATGGAGAAAGCAGGATTTTAATTGGAGATAGAGAGGATGAGGGAGGATGGAGCTGAAATATCACCTCCTCCAGGAGGCCTTCCCTGATCCCCAGACTAGGTTAGTCCTCATGTTATACATTCTCATTGCACACTTATTTTTCTTCCTCAGTATTTATCATACTGTAATTACATCATCATTTGGGAATTGTTTCTTCACTTGGCTTCCAGGATACCATAATCTGGTTTTCCTCCTACTGCACTGACTTGCTTATCCTCAGTCTTCTTTGCTGGTTCCTCCTCATCTTCTCAACCCTTTAATACCGGAATGGTCCAGGACTGGGTCACCTTCTTCGCTTACCTCTCTACACTCACTCCCATGGAGATATCATCCAGTTTCAAGGCTTGAAATACTATCTGGAAACTTCAGAAAGCAATGATTGTTGAAGCTCAGTGGTGGGTAGATAGGGGATCACTGTGCTATTCTATCTTTGCGTTTGAAATTTTCTTTTTTAAAAAAAAAAAGAAAAAAAGAAATGGCATCTATACAATGAACCCCAGAGTTCTCACTTGAACTCCAAACTCAAACACCTAAATGTCAGCTTGACCTCACCTCCTTAACATCTACTAGGCATCTCAAGCTTCACTGGTCTAAAACTGAGCTCCTGATTGTCACCCCGTCCAAAATTTTTCTTTTAGCTCTCCTCCCATGTCTGAACATGGCGACTCTATACTTCCATTTGCTCAAGCCAGAAACCTTAGAGTTACCCTGATGCCTCAATTTTTACCCCGCATCCGATATGGCAGCAAATCCTGCTCCCACCTTGGTCCCAACCACCATCATCTGTCTTCTTGATTATTGCAGTAGCTTCTTTGATATCTTCCTTCTTCTGCCTTTATTGCCCTACAATCTCTTCTCAATCCAATGACTAGGCAACTAGGCCAGATACCGTTACCTCCCCATGTCCCTCAGTACCAGCCAAAGGTTTTCCAGTGGCCTGCAAAGCCCCACAGACCCCTCTGATCTCCTTTCCATACCACTCCCACCTTCGTCCCCAGCCCCTCTGGCCTTTGTACAGGTCCTACAACACACCAGGCATGCTTCCACCCCAGGACCTTTGCATTTACTCATCTGCATGCAATGCACTCTATCAGATGTCTTCATGACTCACCTGACGACCTGCTCTAAGTCTTGACTCAAATATCACCTTCACCAGCCCTCTCTGCCTATCCTTTTAAAAACTGCAATCTCACCTCAAAGATTCCCTATTTGCATCCCCTGCTTTATGTTTCTCCACAGCCATTATTACCACCTAAAATACTATCTCCTCTCACCAAAATGTAAGCTCCATGATGGCAGACATTTTTGTCTGTTTAATAAGATGCTGTATCCCCAGCACCTGGAATAGTGTCTGCCACATGATAAAGACTAATAAATATTTGTTGGTGACATTAATGATTTGTTTTTTTTTTTTTTAGATTTTATTTATTT